TATCCCCTCCTCCCACCTCAAGCCCCACCCCCATCTCCTACCTACTAGCCTTATCCCGCCCCCTTGACCTGTCCTTCCTCCCTGAACTGACCTATCTCCTCCCTAACTCCCCACCTACTCTCACCTTTACTGGCTCCATCCCCGCCTCTTTGACCTGTCTGTCTCCTCTCCACCTATCTTCTCCTCTATCCATCTACTATCTGCCTCCCCCTCTCTCCCTATTTATTTCAGAACCCCCTTCCCCTCCCCTATTTCTGAAGAAGGGTCTAGGCCCGAAACGTCAGTTTTCCTGCTCTGATGCTGCTTGGCCTGCTGTGTTCATCCAGCTCTACACCTTGTTATCTCTGTATTTCTACCCAAGTTGAATTTCAGATGGAATGGACCAATCTATCCCACTAGGCCCACTAATCCACTAGGCAGATAACAAATGGTGTTAATGATATTTCCAGTTTTCTCTAGTTAAAAGTTAGATTTTATAAACTCCAAAATCTAAAATCAATCTAGAAGGTATGAAAATGATTCACAAGGGTGAGACCAAAACTAACAAGGAGCACATCAGACCTGGCTGAGGCTCTTTTCTAAAAAGAAGGTTGTGGAGTTGATAGCATAGATGTAGAAAAGATGTTTTGGTTTCTAGAGGAGTACAGAACTATGAACCATAAATATAAGACAGTCATCAATAAATCCAATGAGGAATTTCAGAATAAAGTTCTTAATGCTTGAGAGTGGAGTGTGTGGAGCTTTCTTCTACAGGGAGTAGTTGAAGTAAATAGTATGGATGCATTCGAGGGGAAGCTACACAAACACGAGGGAAGAAGAGTAGAGGAAATGCTGATTATCTGAGGTGAAGTAGATGAGCAGAAGTTTTTGTGGAGCATTACTGTTAGCATTGACTATTTGGGCTGAAAGACCAGTTTCTGTATAATAACTTGAGAACACCTTAAAGGCTAAATGTAAAATGCAAATATCTCACTGTATTACTAATCTAATGTATGAAGGTCTCTTCAACATATTTTGTTCTATCTTTGATAAACAATATAACATACGTAAATGGTGGCCTGCTGTATCATCTCACATTTAAACTAACTAGTGCCTGCTTTGATTGCACATCATTGTGCAGTACTGGAACGTTCTCGAAGAATTTTGGTCTTGGTTTTATGTTCAAATTCCTCGAGTTACCCTTGAATTTACAAGGTTCTGACTCTGAGACAAGAATACTATCCACTCAGTGTGAACCATCGAGGAAAATACTTTCCATCACAATATAGTGGGAATTGATGTCGAACTTCTTGGATAAATCTCCAGCAGAACCATGTGTGTTAATAGCTATTGCTAAGGGGTTGATTTGTACCTTTCTCCTAATTCACTTTCTAATCCACTTGATTTTTTGATCATGCATTTTAAGATGCCTTCATATAAAATAGCCAAGTTGCAAAATGTCTAAACACTGAAGATGTATTGTTGGTGTGCTGCTGCTGCCCCTTGTCTTTATTGCAGTAGTTATGGTACACTGAAATGGATATTATTCCCCACTCCTTGTGTCTCATAAGTGGGATCATACTGCATTGGTCGCACCCCCGCGTGGTGGGTCACATTACCTGAGGTGGCAGAATGTGTTGTTTCCAAAGTTTATGGATTGAGGTGGACCTTTCTTTTTGACGTTTTAATCTTGCTCCTGTTCACTGCAGCTGCTCGAAGTGCAAGATCGGAATGCTGAGTGTTTAGGAATGTTGCATGAATCCCAAGAGGAGCTAAAAGAATTGCGGAACAAATCAACATCGTCCTCACTTCAGCGGCCTCAGTCCTACAGCATGTTCCCAATGGTATGGAGACATCATCACATCAAATCCACACTTGTTTACAGTCAATGCATTAATTATCACTGTTTAACTCATGAGTATTGATAACTTCAAAGCAAAAGGTCTGGACAAGCTGGCTTGTCCCTGTTGACTTTCACACCAATCCTACCCGTATAGCAATGTGATGACTTTGACTTGTTTAATGTCAGACAATGCATTATTAAAAGATTTTGATATTCATATTGGCGTTATATACATATTTACAGCCCCTAATTTTTTAAAATTTTACAACTCACCAAGTATTCATCAACAGCATCTATCTAATTTTTCTACCCAGAAGGTTGAGGGCCGCAGTTGCCTGGGACTACCGGCACTTGCAATTTCCCTCCAGACACTAACCATCCTGACTTGGAACTATGTCACCATTCCTTCACTGTCTCTGTGTCCAGATCCTGGAACTCGCTCTATAACAGTGTTGGGGTATACCTACACCCAGTGGACTGCAGCGGTTCAAGAAGGCAGCTCACCAACTCGAGCAGTTGAGGAAGGGCATTAAATGCCCAAATCCAGGGAAATAATTTAATAAAAAGTAGAATTGGAAACTAAATATGCAGTGTGATGTCTTTACAGGATTCCATTGCCGCTGAGATTGAAGGAAGCATGCGGAGAGAGCTAAATCTGGAGGAGTCGACCATTCAAGACCAAAGGTAAATGGAAATAGTTCATTTGCTCCATTATTGATCCAACTGCACTTTGAAAGGAAAAAGGTTTGTTTGAACAGAACCTAAGCTTCGTAAATCCAAGAATGGTTCTCTTTCCCACCCCTCCTTGTTTGTGGAATACAGGAACAAGCTTAGGTCAGTTAATCTCCCTGATGTTCCGCCATTCAATTTGATCATGACTAATCTGTTTTTTAGCTCCATCTCTGGTTCCATTTCTTTTTAATACCATCACCTGATAAAAGTTTACTAACCTGTTTTAAATGGTTCACCCGACCTTCAGCTCCAATAGATTTCTGTGGGAGAGCGTTCCCGATTTCTTACTACTTTTTTTAATGAGGATGTGCTTCCTGATGTCATCCTTGAATGTTAACATTAAGTAAAACAAACTCCCCACTAGCCTTTCTTTACCTTCTGCCCTCCCACTCCCCACCACACCAAGAAACGGTACATTTATCAATACTTTAATTCATTTACCTTTTGTGTTTTTGCTTCAGGAATCAACACAGACGGGTTTTCCATACTGTCAGAAGTATCAATGAAACCATACAATCCCACAAGTTGGCATCCCCTCTGGGATCTATCCCAGGATCTGGTTGCTCATCTGTTGTCATGACAGTGAAACCACACCAATCTGTCATGGGGACAACTGATACAAAACTGACAAATAACTCTGCAAATGAACAGGATGCTCACTGGTAAGTAGCAGACATTAATAAATTGCCCTTCGACAGGTCAAAGTTAGTGAGCAGGTCAGACAAAGGGAAAACATTCCTTTTATTCCTTTTATGCGCTCTGTGCCTGGTGTTTCAGCATAATGCCAGAAGACTTATTGAATGCTCTCTATCAAACTCAACAAACTGAATCATAGCATAAAACTGTAGCTGAACTGGATTTCATTCCCACTGGGTGTTATTGCTAGCTTAGTTATTAGTGTCCTTGTATTTTTCACTCTTTTGCACTGGCATTGGTGCACTTATTAACTTGTGATTTTATGTGGAGAGAGAATGTTTTTACTTTATATAAATTTCAAAGTGCTGGAGAAACTCGGCAGGTTTGGCAGCATCTGTGGAGCAAGAAACAGGATTAACATTCAGTTTCCAATATGAAGTGTTTCTGGAACTGAAGGGGGCTGGAAAATGTTGACAAAGCAGGAGCCAGGACCAAGTGGAATAGAGATGGTGAGCGTGCCCAGAACAAGGGCACAAGGAGAGCTAATGGCAGTAGAAGAGATGTATAGGTACAAAATGGCAGTTAACGCTAAGTTTGAGTAGAAGAAAATAGGTCAGCTGTGCTGAGTGAATCCAAGCTAACAAGGCATGAAGGTGAGGTGGTGTAATCAAATTGGAGGAAAGTGTTCGTTGTCTGAAGTTGTTGAACTTAATATTGAGTCCTGATGGCTGTAAAGTGCCTAAAAAGTGAAAAATGAGGTGGTGTTCCTCCAGGTTGCAATGGGCTTCGCTGGAGCACTGTAGCAGGAGGAGGACAGAGATGTCAGCGTGAGGGCCAGATGGTTGACTGAAGCTTGAAGAAGGTTGGTGCCATTCTTATGGACAAAGCAGAAGTGTAGTCACTCAGTCTGCCTTTGGTCTCTCCTATCTAGAGGAGTCCACATTGTGAGCAGCCGAGACAAAATTGAAAGAAGTACAAGTAAACCATGACTTCATCTGTTTGGGCCTTGGACATTGAGGAGGTTAAAGGCCAAGAGTTGCACCTTCTGCAATTGCATGGGAAAGTGAGTAAGTGTTAGAAGTGACAGAAGAGTGAACCAGGGTCCACAGAGGAAATAGTCCCTTTGGAACGTGGAGAGTGGAGGGGAGGAGATTATAATCGGAATCAGTATTTCACATCAGAATCTGAAGAGCCTCATGTTTGTGGCAGATGGTACAGACTCATTTCTAATAAAGTAATGGCATCTACAGAATGGATGTAAGCAATAGGGAAGGGTGAACTCTATTAATTATTACTTGTTCATTTAAACAAAAAAAACAATATACATTGACTGTGTTTGTCAGTTTATTAATATGTAGAATCAGGCTATTCAGCCCAACTAATCTAGCCGATATTTATTCTTCATGTGAGTGTCCACCCAATTTACGGAATCTTTATCCTATCAAAACATCTTTCACTTCCTTGCTGCTTCTAAACTACATCTTTGGTCTTTATGAACTGCTCCATGTAATAAGGAGTTCTACATTATAATCTATCCCTAGGGAAATAAGTTTATTCTGATTTTTTTCTGTAAATATAAATGACTATCTTAAATTTGTGGCTTCTAGCCTTGACTGCTTCCACAAATGGTGATATTTGCACTGCATCTGCCCTGTCCAACCTTTCCATGACCGTTTGAGATGACAGGAATAATATTGACTCAGTGAGTTAAGGTTCCCTTAATTCTGACATTGTAGTAAAGCAGCTGACTATGGCACAAAGCCAGGTATTAATTTGTCAGTGGGTTTAAAGAATCCCTTAGCGGATAGTGACGTGGTTTGTTTGATTTACGCACATTTCTTTTCAGAGCTGGATTGAGCCTATCAGATGGATGAGTAAATTTATTTCTCCCAAGCCTTTTCCTTTGTTTACATGGGTGCATTATTTTGTTTTTAGATGGTATTTTGAAACAGAATAGTTGTTAGTGAAACATTTAATTCTCAACTGACAGCCCATTACTTTATGTGTAAGATGTCACTGGATTGATTTAACCGAGATGTTGTAATCTGCATATAGCTTGCAGTATGTTCCGAATAAATAAAAATGTATTTGCACTCACTGTAACTTCTTCTGTGCACTTAGAATTGACATGCAACTACAAGTTTCTGGCTGCACGTTAATGTGGTCACTAGCCATTTGTTGTCAGTTAATTCACCATAGCTTGTCACTCATGCTCTTATTTTATCTCTCAGCAATCTTTCAAAGACCGGGAAGCCTGGTACCCCTGGGGGCAAAGACCTGGCCACTGCCCTGCGTCGGCTCTCCTTACGGCAGGAGAATTACCTGAGTGAGAAAATGTTCTACGAAGATGAGCGGGACCGGAAGCTGTTGGCCCTGGCAACAGAGGAGGAGAACGGCTCCGCTACACCAGCTGAGAGCGTGTTGTCCACAGGGACCAATGTCACGGATCTAACAGAGATATCCTGTATTTCAGGAGTGTCCAGCTGTTTCCGCACCTTCCTACCGGAGAAGCTGCAGATAGTCAAGCCGATAGAAGGTGAGAGTAGAGACTTGTGGGTGGTCAGTTTTTACTATTAATTGTAATTGCCGTTAATTCGAGCAGAACACAGAACTATATGGAGATGTTTTAGTATAGTAGCAGCTATGAAACGCACTAGGTATAAAGTTGGGTCTGATGAAAGTTGGTCATTAGCCAGCCCAAAATTCCAGTGGGCCCAATTCCACCATTCGGTTATAAGGCAATCAAACCTCCATTGTAAACATTATGATTTATTGTATTGGGTAGATCAAGGCTGTGTAGCCAATGTTTAGATAATCCTTATCCTTTTAATCACTGAGTCATAAAATTAAACACTATATATATTGTTTCAAAACATTCATCTTAAGACTACACTCAGAGCAATTTATGTGATGCTATGTTTAGAAACTCTCACAGAAAGAATTCCCTTGGAATCAGGGGCTTAGTCTATTCATGCAGCTCATGGTACCTCCTCTTGAAGGTGACTACAGTTTTTAATTAAAATTTGCATTGTATCTCAGTTTTTAAGCTTTCTTTAAAAGAAAAATATCTGTTGTCTTGTTCTTGCTGAGTTTGACGGTTTTATGGGCCTTGAGTCATCAAACAGATTGCTGACCCTCTACAAAAGCTGGTGCGAAGCCTGGTCAATTCCTATCCCAATATCCAAAGACCTTTTCTGCTGCAATGCTGTCAGTATTATTGCAAGCAAAACAAAATGCATTTGCTATCATATTCTATAAATCAATTCTATCAACACATCCAGTTCAAGCATAATTACTACATAGTTGCTCAGCCTTTATATTCCAAACATCGTAAAAACGTATCTGTATTTTTACCACCAGTGACTTTGATGTTTTGTGTTGATGATGCATTTATCTTATTAACCCTATAGGTTACTCTTTGTTTTTTAAGTTGTCTTTTTGTCCCATAGGTTCTATGACTTTGCACCAGTGGCAACAGTTAGCACAGCCCAACTTGGGTACAATTTTAGACCCACGACCTGGGGTCCTTACTAAAGGCTTTGAGCCACTGCCAGAAGATGACGTCTATCACCTGTCTGATCTTGAGGAGGACAGCGAGGAGGGGATCACCTTCAAAGCCCAACGCACTTCTACGCCCAAGGGAACGAAGGAGAAAGAGGAAAATGAAGATAATGAGAAGCAGCTACCAAAGAGACAGGAGATACCACCAGAGATTTTTCTGCCAATGACCACATTCTCTTCCCAGGAAGCAACAGCTGGTGAGTTATGCTTCATAATAACTAGTGGACTAATAAACTGGAACTTTGTGCAATAGGAGCTGATGAGCAAGAATTGGACAGTAATAAGTGTGAATGTTCTGGGAAGGTTGTACATCATGTTACCTCTCCTCCCTTCTCCCATTGGAAGAATGCCAGGAGATTTTCCTGGGTTTTGAAAAAGAGGAATTTATACAAATTGCTTCTACAGCCTCCGATCTCACCAATGTTCTTCAAAAATGGAGCTTGTACCAGACCCAATGGGAATACCGTCTGATTTAGTCATACATTCAGTCATCTCTGCAGATTTGTGTCTGCAACTAATTTATTCAGCATCTAATGCGTAAATATACATTAAATAGCCTCTCTGGCCACTTTTGAGTCTTAACCAAAGAAATCTCATGTTCTGAACTTTGAACCAATATATTAGCTCAATAAGTCAGACCTGAGTAGGATTCTAAATTTGCTCCAAATCTCAGATTTTATGCCTTATTTCACCCGATGTGTTATAAATGACATGCTTCATGTTAAATAGCACTAATTTACTAAGTGCTGTCCTTCCAGTATATTCCGTATGCTTGACCACTGTCCATAACTTTCCAGATCTAGACTGCAGTTTTCCCCATACAGGTGCTTAACATCAAGGCGCCTTATCTAATGAGGGAATAAAAGGAACTTTTCTGCATTAAGAATCGTAATCTGCATTTAACAAACCACAGCAAAAGGCTGACTATTATTTTTAAGTGAAAATTAACCCTTTTATTAGAAGGGGATGAGCTGGCTTTTTATCCAGTTCCACTTAGAAGTTATGCACAAGGAAACTTGATGCTTAGTTCATGTCCTTCTCACATTCTAATCATGTTATGTTGTGGGGAAATGAACTGAAAATTAGGGATTATGAACAATTATAAAAAGTATGCTGGAAGGACAGCGTACAACTAAATTGGTGCCAAAATAACATGAAGTATGTCACTTATCACTTTAAATGAGAAAAAGGGCATTAAAAACTGGGCTTTGAAACAAATTACTTCGAATTTAATTCATGTTTGATTTGCCTGAGCTTTGAACTCTTTCAACGAAATAATTTGCAAGTGGCCAAAGGTGTTAAGTGTAGGTTGATGTATATAAACATTGATATATGTATCTTTTTTAAAATGGACCCCATACAAAATTTGATCTCTTTATCATGTTTGAAATCTGCATCATTGCTAGCATGAACATCTTTCCTCTTTCTCTCTGTGTATTTAGTGCGAAATCCTGGCAAATGTCTGTCACAAACCAACTCTACTTTCACCTTCACTACTTGCCGGATCCTCCATCCCACAGATGTTGCTCAAGTCACAACAAGGTGAGTTGTTAGCCTACACTGGTGTTTTCCTATAGAACTGTCATCTCCATTTATCAGCAGCCCTGTTTTAATATTTTTTTTGAAATGGTATGAACTTGAGAAAATTTACCAGGTTTCCAGTTATAGTATGTGTCACTGAGAGAGGCCATTCAGCCCCTGTTTTGTATTTCCAGCTTCCAGTAGCCAATTAGAACAACTCCTTCCTCTTTCCTGTATAGCACTGCAAGTTTTTTTTTTTTCTTTTGAAAAGGATATGTGTGTGCATATATACTTCTTACTGAATCTTGCACCACTTTCAAACAATGCATACTGATCATAGCAACTCACTGCATTAGAAAATATCTCATCTTCCCTCTGTTTCTATTCTTAAATCTGGTTACCGACTCTCCTGCCGCTGAAACCATTTCCTCCTTATTCACTCTATCCAGTCTCTGCTTAAATTTGAACACACACCCTTGCAGGTTCTCTCCTCTTAAGGGAAACAATCCCTGTGACAAGATAAAACACTTTTAAAGCTTGATGAGGTGATGCCTAATTTTTTGTTTTGAATGAAGGGATGAAGTTATACAAAACGAAATAATGTGCAGATATTTGAAATACTTAAGAGTTGGCAGCACCAGTGGAGAGAGAAACAGAGTTAATGTTTCAAGTTGATTATAGGAAAATTGTGATTACTCTTGAGAGGGTACAGAAGGGATTTACAATGATGTTGACTAATTTTTAGTGAGAGGCCACCTCCTTCCTCCGCTACATTGATGACTATCAGCACTGCCTTGTGCTCCTACGAGGAGCTTGAACAGTTCATCAACTTTAGTAACACCTTTCACCCCAACCTCAAGTTCACCTGGACCATCTCCAATACCTCCCTCACCTTCCTGGACCTTTTCCGTCTCCATCCCTGGTAACCACCTCCGCACTAACATCTATTTTCAAGCCCGCCGACTCCCATAGTTACCTGGACTACACCTCCTCCCACCTACGCACACATACCTCGGACGATTGCGATCCTGTACTCCCAATGCCTCCGGCCCCGCCACATCTGATCCCAAGATGGAGCGTTCCACTCCCGGATATCACAGATGTCCATCTATTTCAAGGACCGCAACCCTTCCTCTCCCCACACCTTCGATGATCAAAAATGCCTTCAACTGCATCTCTTACGTTTTCCACATTTCTGCCCTCAAACCTCCTGCCCCCAACAAAAATAAAAACAGAATCCCCCTGGTCCTCACATACCACCCCATCAACCTCCTCATCCAGCATATCATTCTATAGTTCGACCCCAAGACCAAAGACAACATTTCCCTCCGCACCCCTATCTGCCTTTTGTAGGGACCACTCACTCCACACTCTCCACTAACCCCACCATACTGAGCACCTTTCCCTGAAACCACAGGAAGTTCTACACCTGCCCCTACAGCTCCAACCACCCCCCCACCTTTGTTCAAGGCCCAAAGCAAACCTTTCATATCCAATAGGGGTTCACCTGTACATCCTCCAACTTGGTCTACTGTATCCGTTGCTTCCGATGTGGCCTCCTCTACATCAGTGAGACCAAGCATGGACTCAGAGACTGTTTCAAAGAGCATCTGCAGTCTGTACGCAACAAATTACAACACCTTCTGGTTGCCAACCATTTTAACTCCTCATCTCGCTCCTTCGGTGACATGTCCATCCTGGGCCGCCTCCAATGTCACAATGACACCACCTGCAAACTGGAGGAGCAGCACCTCATATACTACCTCAGGAGCCTACAGCCCGATGGCCTAAAAATGAATTCACCAGTTTTAAAATCTCCTCCTCACCCTCAGCCTCATCCCATGTCCAATCCTCCCTGTCATCCCCGCCTCCTTGACCTGACACAACCTGTCTATCTTCTCTCCCACCTATCCGCCCCACCCATCCCACTGACCAATCCCCACCACTCCCTACCTGCACTCACCTATCACCATCGCACCTACCTTCCCCAGCCCCACCCCGCCCACTCCGATTATTTCCCAGCTCCCTTCCCCCTCCCCATTTCTGAAGAAGGGTCCTGATCCGAAACGTGAACTTCCCTGCTCCTCTATTGCCTGGCCTGCTGTGTTCCTCCAGCTCCACACTGTGTTGTGTATGTTTAGGGTTGTTTTCTTTGAAACAGAGCTGACTGACTGACTTAATTAAATTAGTGAGTTTAATATTAGGGTCACCGCATCTTGTATGAGCTTCAGAAGGTGGGATCTTCATGATAACCTCAGTCGATACAGGAATTGAATTTGTGCTATTGGAATCACTCTCTGCTTTGCATTCGATCCAGCTGAACTAATCAACCCCAGAGAGGCCTAGATAGAGTAGCTAGAATGGCCCTGTTCCCCTTGGCTGAGGTGTTCGTAACCGGGGACTCCGATTTAAGATCAGAGGTGTTTCAGAGGGAGTTCAAGGTCAAGTGTTTTCACCTAGATGGTGGTGGGGATTAGGAACTGACTGACTGAAAGGGTAATAAAAGCAGAAACCTTCATCACATTAAATTCTTCAATAGGGTTTTGAAGAGCTATAACCTAATATGGCTATGGACCAAGAGCAGGAAAATGAGATTAGACTGGATGAACACTCCTTGCTATGAGTCATGTTTGACTAGGGGTTCGATGGGATACTTGGACACTGTAAACGCCTTCTATTATCAGTGAAAGTGGTAGATGCAGGTACAGTTATAACATTTAAGACATTTGGACAGATATGTGAATAGGAAAGGTTTAGAGGGATGTGGGAAACTTAGTTGGCATGGACAAGTTGGACCGAAGGGTCTGTTTCCCTTCTGTATGACACTGACTCTATGGCTACTTGAGAGCTAGTACAGAAAAGAATGGCCTCTTTTCCATGCTATATATTTCTTCATCTATAATCAAGGAAGTACAGTCTATGAACATCCAGGCTGAGTCTGAAGAAGGGTCACCGAACCCGAAACGCTAACTCTGTTTCTTTCCTTCACAGATGCTGCCAGACTTGCTGAGCTTTTCCAGCAACTTTGTTTATGTTCCTGATTTACAGCGTCCGCAGTTCTTTCGGTTTTTATTGAGTCTAATTAAACACTTCTGGTACCGTATCAAATTTTGAATATGGAAACAGAAGTAAGCCATTTAGCCTGTTCGGCCTGTCCTGCTATTCAGAGATCGTGACTCCTTATTTTCCTCAAATCCCTTAGTAACTTTGGATAACAAACATCTCTGTCAATCTCACATGTCAAATGAACAATTAATCTAGAATCAATTGCTGTTACAAAAGAGTTTCAAACTGTTGCCACACTTTGTGTAACAAGTGCTTCCTAATTTCACTCCTGAAATGTCTGGCTCTGACCTTTAGACGATGCCCTAATCTTAGACACCCTTGTGGAAATAGTTTCTCTCTACTTACCTTGTTTTCTCTCCTTAGTACCGTTTAAACTTTGACCAAATCAATTTCAACATTTTAAATTCCAGGGAACTCCTTCTATTTTAACCCTTGGAGTTATAATAACTTTCCAGTAAATATACACTTCATTCTCATGTTATGAACTGTTGCCCATTTAAGTGTTTTATTATGATCATATAACTCTTCACCTTGTAGCTTTTCACTCCTTCAGGACTGGTCATTCCCCACGATAGTGAGATGCTGCTCTGACACTCTGCCTCATCTTTTAAGATGTTGCAACTTGAGGTGTGAGGCAGCTTGATGGACAAGTTGTTGTCATTTTGAATGAGGGGTAGCAAGCTCCTCCCAGTCACTAATGTCAGTGCTGCCACTTCAAGGAGAGCTTCACAATGTTTTTGAAGCACTTCCTTCAACCTCCCTCAAATGCGGGTCATTTGTGAGTTGATTTATTTAAAATAAACTAAATAAGCACATGTCAGAGAAATGAATAGAAGGATTTGCTGATGGGGTAAAAGTGATTTATGTGGTGCATAAACTTCAAAATAGATCAGTTGGGCTGAATGGCCTTTTTCTGTGCAATTTTGTGTAATGAAGGTAAATACATGATGTAAATACTGGAAGACTACATTTAAAGAGAATACTTGGCGAACAATTTTACATAAATGTCCAATAACCTCCCTGATTTTGAAAATCAGGCTGAGCCACGATGTCATGTATTGATCAGACTTAACATGGATAGATTTTGTCGTTGGTGGTAGTGCTGTGCAGTGGAAATATCCATATTATTTGTGGAGCGAATCATTTAGGCTCAAGGAAATGAAATCCTGCTTTAAGTGAAATACTTTTGCTGGGTACTTGACGTGACCATTTGTGTGATTCATCTGTTCCACTTTTGTTTTAGCTTCATGTACTCTCCAGTGCCAAAGATCGGGGGGTCGTCCATCAACATCAATTCCAGCAGCCCCAGATTTACTTGCCGCCCAAGCATCGGTGAATCCTTCATGAAGACAAGGGATTCGACTACCACTCTGAGCAGTACAAGCAGCCTGACCAAACTGCTGCTTGATCGTGGGATCTCTGCTGGCATTTATCGTTGCCCCCTTTTGAAACGCCCACCTGTGGCTCGCCCTAAGACGTTAGCTATACCTTGTACTCCACCGAACTCCCCCTCCTGCTCTCCGTGCCCATCGCCCTTGCCCTTTGACACACGGAGTGCCATTGACAACTTCCTGGCTTCACGGCCAGCCGAGACACTGCTCCAGGAGGTTTACTGCTTGAAGCCCGGGCGGAGCCGTACGGATTCTGCTCCCATCAGTCTGAACTTGGTCAAGAAGCTGCAAAGGATGGGGATTGCCCAAGTGGTCAACCCTAAGAGCACCCAAGAGCACGATGAGAGCGTAGAAGGCAGGAACAGGCAACGTAGACCTGACACGGCAGTGTTCATGGGAACTGGCAGTAGCCTTCTGGGAGGTTTAAGGCGGAACCAGAGCCTCCCCAGTGTGATTGGTGGACTTGGCATACCGGTACCAAAAATGGGCAACTTAACTGAAGACAAGACTGAAACCAAGTTGGATTTATCGGCACAGTGATGACTGATGAGGTATCACTGGTGTGAATATTTGCTCCCCTACCCCGCTGCAGAATACTAAGTGGAACAAAGGGTACTTTTTTTTTGTTGTTGGAAGGCCCCTGAAAGTCTCAGGATGGTGAGCGTAAGTGCACAAGCAAGCAGAGAGGGTGGAAGAGCCAAGGAAGGAAATGGAAATGGAAATGGGAATGGTTTAAGAGATGAGAGGGTAAATGAAGGGAACCGATTATAATGAAACTAGGAAAGAGAAGTGTGGTAAAATTAAGAGTTTTTTTTGAGGTTTTGCATAGGGAATGATGAAAACAAGACGGCTTCACACTATCGATTGAAATAACTTTGTAAGTTAAGCACAATTCACAACTCATTCTATTTGGCAAGAATATTATATCATCATATCTGCTCTGCCACCAAATGCTAGAAGCACAGAACAAAGCATAAAGTACAATCCAGAAAACTTTGTGGGAGAAGCACTGTTTTAGTAGCAATTTGCAGCAATATTAAATGGTTGTGAATGAGTACAACAATTGAGAAACTCTAACTGCCCCAGTCCAATAGTTGTGCTATATTCCTTTGTTGTCCACACCTTGCACTGCACTATCAGTGTTTGCAATGACTAGCATTTTCAAACCACATGCATTTTGGCATTTTAGAAATCAGTCATCACACCAGAGCCTGTGTTGTCACGAAATGTAAATAATCCTTTAACTTCTGCCTGCATGCTCCTTAATACTTTGCTTTTGTAATGTCACTTATTAATCCTTATTTAAGTGCTCTGGGATGGTTTAGGTTTTCTGAAAGTCGTTACACAAGACTCCTGGCACACACTCTTTGCCTGAAGATAGAAAGGTTTTCAGCCTTAAGGTATTGCATGCATCTCTTTTGAGAGTCTTTGTAATCAATTCTGTAACGGTGACATAATGTCAGTCTGAAAGCTGCGCTAATCTACTATATACTCAATTGGATATTGGGTGCCCTTGGCATTTTTGCAGTGAGAGTACCAGTTTGCATAATACATGGCCTTAGCAACACGGGGAATGAAGGCCATTCAGTTTAAAACCATGTATATTCAATGAAGTGTTATCTAGGAGTGACCTAGGACTTTATAATGGGAGCCAGTTTGGGTGGGTGAGGGTGGGGTGCAGTTGCTGAGCTTTATACTTTTTATTGTGAGTTGTTTCAGTTGTTTTATTGTTTCACATAAATTCCTAAGGTGTCTTTTTTTTTGCACTGTTTGCTAATATATTGTAACTGTAATTTGACACAGGCTGCTGAGTTTAGTTGTAAAATTTGCAAGAGTCTGCAAAACCTCAGGTGGGATCACTAGCAATGCAAGTGAAATGAGCTGGTCACGCATCAGATTGTCACGGGTTTAATTTGTATTTCTTTGTACTGTGCAGTTTTGGCCTGTTTTGGTTTTGAGTGGAATGGAACGGACAGGCTCGGTTGTTAAACACGGGACTGAGCGGTGCAATGGATTCCATCTTTTGGGTTTTTAAGGTGCAGCCTGTAGAGATGTGACAGACTTTACAAAATGAGGATGGTAAATTCACTGCAGCCAAAAAGCACATGGTTTCATTCAATTTTGTCATTTCAAAAACAACAATCCCACGTGGTAGAGTGAATGGAGAGAGGGGAAAATTTTAGTCCAAGTTGACTTGACAACGTAATTATGGTTCCTGTTGTCATGGCTCAAGTATATTCAGACTTTAGTAGAATTCTCAATGTTATTGGCATGATGTAGCCTGATTCGGTTTTATTCAATATGTCAATGCATTTTAATTGCTCTGCATTCAGCAACTCTTGTTCTTTTTCTCTCTCTTGCTCACACTCCGGCCTGTGCCATGACTAACAGGAGGGGTTCAGTCAGGCGAAGTAGTGATATTGTCTTGACTATGTGTAAGGTTAGAGTTGCCAACTCTTTACACACCTGCGAGGAGGTTTGCCACATGTCTTTCACCAGTTCCATACCCCACCGCCCTCCCCCAATACCCCACGTGACATATTCTTCCTCTTGTTAGTATTTACAATGCTGTTATCCAATTAGGTATTTCTTTATTGATTCTTTATATAAAAAGGACAGTTTGACCACCGTTTTATAACCTAAAAATCAATGTGTTCAAAAGTTGTTTTTTTATAAATGCGTCTATTGTGTCTTGAATTGCTTGCTTCAGTGCCCTTGAAGTTAGTCATTAAATCCTGGAGACTCCAAGACAGTCCTCCAACAGAGTTTTGTGTTCGTTCAATGTGTTCGTCCATAATCTGCAAAGTTGCAGAGTCCAGCTTTTTTTCTGAACACTACTCAAATGGTGCATCCACTAATGGTTCAGTACGTGTGTTGATTCCCTGGGATTTCTCCCAGTCTGAGCACAAAAGAAGTACTACTTCATTTGGCAAAAGATACTGTTTTGCACTTTAAAATAACTTGCACTTTTTGGTTTGTAATCCAAAGTAATATCAAGATAGGGAAACCTGTGGAAATTTAATGCGGAACAACCTTTTAAATTCTTTTTCGCCATTAAAGTTCCTTCATTTTTCAAAGATTTGAGGTTTACTTTTTGCTGATGGATTTTGCAGTCGACCAACTTCCAATTTGGACTTTAATCTATACAATCCTGTATTGGGTTGGACTGCACAAACCCAGGGATCCCTGCTCATCTATGACTTGTGTATTAGAGAGATGGCACAGTCATTACTTGCTGTTTGATATCTGGTAGTTGTAATAAACAGGAGAATGACGATCCCTTTGGTACCTAGAACCTTCAAGTGTCCTCACTTGTAACAGTGTCTGTTGCCCCTGTATCTCTAGCTGTGATAGACTGTGTCTCCCAGTTGAACTGTTGGTCAGTGGCTGTGTAAAAATTGTCAAATGAGACTTGGAGCAGAATATTCCTTTGCCCAGTGCTCATTGTACATTGTCTAGTTTTGCCTAGACTTCATATAAAGATTCTGATTAATGGGACCACAAACAAAGTACTGTTAAACTAAATAGCTAGATATTGAAAGCTTCAGTTTCAACCTCCCGAGGTTTGTAAATGCATATTCTGTTTAAATACAGACTTTTGACTGTGGACATTGGTGATAATTGCACTTGTATGCAACTGAAATGTTGTGTACTTTTTCAAATGAAATTATTTTTACAAGGGAATCACCAACTGAGAGGAGGAGTTGCCTTCTGTTTATAGAGCTGGTTTGAATTTAATCTGCTCTCCATGGAGCAGTACCTCACATTCTCAGTCTAAATGCCACATTCAGTAAAAGCAAGTCACTGATGCCCATCAGGCCCTAGGATCCCTGCTAATTTAGGAAGCAGAGATAGAAAGAAACAATTATTTGTACAGGGCTCAATTGAGTCTATATTCAGATACCTGTATTGTTGCTTCTGGCCTTGCATGATTCATTTCTTTTATAGTTAATAAATATATATTTGCAAGATTGAGACTGACCAAAGGTGTTGTAGCTGTGTGATAGGGAGGTAGAAAATGTCCTAACACCTTGTCTGTCTTTTGGGGTGTCAGGCCCTTGACCAGATGTCTATTTCTCGGCAATGCAGAGAAGGGAGTTTGTCCTGTCTGATGTTTGGGTCTCTGGGCAGTATGCAATGTGAGCAGTTAGTCTTTACTGAATGTAAGCCATCCTCAACCATCTATATCATTGCATTTCATTTGCCAGTCTCTGGGAAAATCTTGCACTAAACTTTTATTTTGGGTAGGGAGCATTAATCTTGTCCCAGTACGTGACTAGCTTTTTTGTTTTGCTTCCTCAGTTATTAACTTTAACTTCAATATTTGACGTGTCCCACCCTCATGTTCTAGCAACAATGAAATACAAGAGATGAGTCATGATGGTACCTAGCTGGATTTAGTTTAATGTCTCGGCCCTTGCAGTTTATATTCTAGAATTACTCGAGAACAATTGTGACTATTTGTTATGCATTATTTAATATTGTAATAATTGATGTAACTGCAAAGTTACATGGGATTTCTGAGTCACTTCAACTCTCAAATAAAAGCATTTTTGTAAATTCCCCCTAGTTGTTGCTTCTGTCATTTACTTTCACTATGTCAGTACCAGCCTTGGGCTGATGTGAAGTCCTGGCGGTGGAAGATACGCGAGTTGGATTTCTCACGTCTCATGTGGTCTGGTCGCTCTGGGACTTTGTCTGTATCTTGGTGTGTCTGGCAATAGAATTATTGAGAGAAGGGAACTTCACATTGAATGTAATACAGGAAACAAATCACATCTTACTTCTCAAGGAGCAGCGAGAGTTTTGCCCAAAATCAAAAAGATGGCTCTGCAACCGATATTACAAATGGAAGCACTGACCAGTGGAGCCAAATGGCGTTGCATCTGTGAAAATAGCAACTAGGATTCACTTACTTATTAATAAAACAGTATCACTGAATTTTGCTACCTAATCTTTCTAATCACTGGTAATAACTGAATTATAGATGTCAAAACTAATCCATACACTTGGCCACTTCCAGAATATTACTAAACCCTTGGAGTGGTGACAACCGAGAGTCCACATGAGGGGGAAGAGTTTTGCAGTGGTGACACTTGAGATTTAATAGATTTGATCATTTAAGGCCTAATCTACATAGAGAATGTAAAAGTCAACTGGACAAAGATGATGAGTTTGTAGCTTCTTAGGATAGCACATTCTGGCGCTGACCAGAGAGAACGGTGTCCTAGACCTGGTATTGTGCATTGAAAGGGGATCAATGAATGATCTCGTAGTGAAGGCATCCCTAGATTAGCAGCAACCACAATATAATTTCATGTTCAGTTTGAAGGAGAAGGGAGTAGATCAGAGACTAAGTGTAAATGAGGACTTGGAAGCAGAACTGGCTGAAGTCAATTAGCAAATTACATTAATGGAGATGCAGCGGCACACAATCAAGGGGATATTTCAGAATACCCAGTATAGATACTGGGTTCAAGGGATGGACCTACCATCTGTGATTAACTAGAAATTTTAAAGATGGTATCAAGCTTTTTCCTTTTTTAAAAAAGGAGCAAATAATTGTGTAAAAATAGATGGCAAGTCTAAAGATTAGACAAATTTTTAAAAACGACCGATAGAGAGGGGGAAAAATTAGTGAGGAAAGCTAGCCAGAACAATAACGTTAGTAAGAGTTTCAACAGGACAATGAGGAGTAGGTGAATCAGCACTCGAGCCTGCTCCACCATTCTATAATATCATGGCTGATCTGCCCAGGACTCAACTCTATTTTAAAAATCTATCCATCTTTTTAAATATTTTTTGATCTAACCTCTACAATTATGAGGTAGAGAATGCCAGACATTCACTATCCTCCGATATGGTATGGGGAGCAGAACTCTACACACGACCCCAGGTGTGGCTTCACCAACAGCCAGACTTGCCCATTTTAAGACTTCAACACTCGCCGCCCTGGTCAGAGTAATAACAGCCAAAATATAATTTGCCTTTCGAATAGAAGAGCCTTTATTGTCATGGGCACGCGAATGAGTGCAGTGAAATGTTTGTAATGTTGCTGCTTTGGGTGCTGTCTTAAAGTATCTGTACCTAGGTACCCTGTACCTAAGTATTTGTTACAGAATTGAAACAGCAAAAAAAAAGTCCAGCAGGTTTTAAAAAACACTCTAATTACTCAAAGTCCAGAATAAGAATAAAATGCATCTTTAAAAGTACCCAAATTATAGTCCTTTTCACTGAGTCCATGCCTGCTGAGCTTCAGAACACAAGGCCTTGTTTCTCCACGGGCAGACCTCCTGCCTGGACTTGTCTCCCAGGTTGGCCTCGGCTTAGTCTGCTCCTGCACCGGGTTAGACTCTGACTAGCTTCCGCTCTCCATTCCCTCCAGGTGGGGTAGTTTAAGTTAAAAATTGGGGGGAGATAGAAAAACTGGTGAGCAGAAGAGCTCTGGCTGGAGTGTCCTACTCTGCTGCTATCTTGAACAGCCTTGATACTTAATGCTCCTTGTGCACGTAACACAAAACATGCAGAAGAACACCCAGATTCCTCTCCATTGCCCTTTTTTGGAATCTCTCTCTCTCTCTCTCTCTCTCCATTTTAATAATATTCCTACTTTGATTCTTCCTACCAACGTGCATGACCTCTCTCCTACATTCAATTCCATCTGACAAGATTTTGCCAACTCAACTTATCTCTCTCCGTCACTGCATGCCCTCTTGTCTATTTTATGTCAGCAGCAAACTTGGATACATTTCACTCAGTGCCTTCCTCCAAGTCATAAATATAGGTAGTATATAACTTATCAATGATCCTTGTGGCACTCCATTCAAAAGATGTAACTAACCTAAAAGTTCCTGAGTTTGTGTGGTAACCAACCCTCAATTCATGCTAATTCATTACCTTCCTTCAATACTACACGCTCCCTATATTAAACTTTTCTGTAGCACCTTTATATGTCTTCGTGAAATTCAAGTGCACTACATCAACTGGCTCCCTTTTATCAGCTCTATTATATCCTCAAAGAACTCTCTAGCAAATTTGTCAAACATGCTTCCGTTTTATAAAACTATGCTGACTCTGCTGAAAGCTTTTCTAGAGATGCCCTGCTGTTTCTTCCTTCACATACTCCAGAATTTTCATGGTGATTGATGTTATGCTAGAATGCTGAGAGGCATGGTTAGCGTGAATATGGAAAAGATGTTTCCACTTGGAGAGATTGGGAGTCAAAGGCACAATCTGTGAAGAGATGACCCTTCAGAACTGAGATGAGGAGCAGTTTCTTCAGCCAGAGAGCAGTTAATCTGTGGACCGCATTGTTACAGATGGCTGTGGAGGCCAAGTTATTGAGTATGTTCAAGACCAAGATAGATTAGGTTCTTGATTAGTAAGGAGATCAAAGGTTACATTGAGAAGGCAGGAGAATGGGGTTAAAAAAACACATTGGCCATGATGGAAAGGTTGGGCCAGATGGGCTAATTCTGCTCCTGTATCTTTATGGTCTTACGATCTAACTGCCTTATGGTTTCCTGCTTTGTCTGCCTGCCTTCTTGAAAATGGGGGTCACATTGGAAAACTGCTAATCTGCTAGAATCCAGTTTGTTCTGGAATATTCCAGAACAATGATGCCACTAACCCTGCAGCCACTACCATTTAAATACTACATCCTTTGTGTTAGACTTTTGCAAGACTTTTCCTTCAATTGGCACCTTGCTCATTAGATCCTTTGGGATCTTTATAGTGTCCTACATTGTGAAGACTGATGCAAAATATTAGTTTAAATTTCCTTTTTCCCTGTTCCCTGTTATCAATGCTCCAGTCACATCCTCCAAGACTTCCTCACTCACCTTAGCTACTTTCTTTTTTACGTATCTGTGGAAGTTCTTGCTTGTTTTTATGTATTTTGTCCATTTATTTTCATTAATGAATTCTATCCCTCTTTTTATTGGCTTTTTAGTCATTCACCGCTGGGTCCTCTGGCCTGCCACTAACTTTGCTATTTTGTATTCCTTAGGTTTTGGTAGGATATTTCTCTTGAATGCCTTTGAGAAAGATGAACCACCCCAAGTTTATAGAGTCCTTTCTGACAGGTGTAAATTTTGCCAAGCATTATGAAATAACTGCTTAAATATCTGCTGCTGCTCATCCATTGCCCCTCCCCTTAGTCCATTTTCCAAACCTACTTTAAACGTTGTTTTTCCATACCCTGTATTTCCCCTTAAGTTGAGGATACTGGTTTGAGATGAGTTGTTCTCCCTCAAACTGAATTTGAAATTCCACCATATTGTGGTCATTGACAGTTCCATTTCAGCCATCACTGTCTCAGAGCATATGAACCCAAAATTGCAACTCATAATTCTGGTAAAAGCAAGTTACTTGTTTGAATGATAGTTGCTCTCTTGAGGGTGGGGTCAGTGAGGTAGTAAATTAATTTTGAGAGTCAGATCATTTCTTCTTTAAAGCTGTTTCTGTATCTTGTGATTAAAATGATGCAACACTGTCCTCTGCTGGAGGATGTACATTACAGCACACATACAGAAGGGAAATAATCAGTGATTCCACAAGGGGACAGCATTTGGGCAGAACCGACAGGAACGTTAAGCCAACCAGAAGTTTGGCATTGAGACAGTAAAGCGAGCAAATCTTTAATGATATCTTGGGGAAAAAAAAATGTGTAAACACTTTGAAATACGTTTCAGACTTTATCAAAGCTCCTGAAAGTAAAGCCACTCACCATCCTGATAGGAATATATTGCTGTTCTTTCAGTGTTGCTGGGTCAAACACAGATAACACATGCTTCATGAGGGCAGCTCACCATCACCTTCTCAAGGGCAACTAGGAATGGACGATAAATACTGCTGTGGCCAGCAATGCCCACACCCTTGAATGTATAAGAAAAAAGGCAAAAAATTGAGGCAAGTAAAAGAAAGTTTATAACAAGGACACGAAAAATAAAGATGTTCATTTTAAACAAAAACACTCTGTGCCCTCTCTCTGAAAGAGGTCTCTTCTTAGTTAAGTGCGGTGAAACCTTATCCCACTGAACTTCTGAAGAAGGGTCACTGGACCTGAAATGTTAACTCTGTTTTCTCTCTGCAGATGCTGCCAGAGCTACTGAGTTTTTCCAGCAATTTCTGTTTTTATTTGATTTCCAGCACCCACAGTTCTTTGGACTTCTTTCCTTTTCCCTACTGAGTCCTGAGTTGGAGAATGAAAAGGCCCGAGACGGGGAATGTGAGGGAAAGGGGTACAGGGACCTGTTGGACCAGGGGCAAGGTGGGGCAGATTTCAAAGTGATTTCAGCATTTCAGCTCTCGATTGCACTTTGGGAAATCCAGCCCTTAGCCAATTTCCCCACAGACCAGAAACACGTCATTCAGTCCATCAACTCTGCACCGATCCTCCAAAGAGCATCTCTACCCTATCCCTGTAACACTGCATTTCCCATGGCTAACCCACCTAGTCTGCACATGCCTGGACACAAGGGGGCAATTTATCATTGCCAGTCCACCTAACCTGCACATCTTTGGACTGTGGGAGGAAACCCGAGCACCCAGAGAAAACCCGC